TCAAGATATGTGATGTTTGATACTTGACAGCACGCAATGGTGACATTTCTGCTACAGTTACTACAAATCAACAATCACTATGATTATTATGATCTAGATCAAACTTTTCCATAGACTTGTTGTATCGCATCAATCTGAAGATTGTGCAATGATTGAGGTTAACATTTTTAGGAGTGTGCATCGATAGATCAATGTCCTGGCTGTTCTGATAGTGTCACTGGTCATGAGCTGCAACAAAAGCTTCAATAAAATTGCATCAGCTAGGAGCGACATTTTTTTTTTCTTTTTTTTTTTCCCAATTACCGGATCTCAATTAGTTCAATTCTTGGCACTCAACAAGAGATGAAGATGGGGATGATGCTTCGCGAATATGGATTTTTCCAAAAAGGAAAAAGAAAGTTTTAGGGCAGGGAGGATTGTCATCGTGACAATGATTACAAGTTCATAATTAACCCACTCTTTTGCTAATACTACAAGATTATGGTTTCTTTTCTCCTAATTGCCATTTTTGCAGACGTCTACATAACAATTGGAAAATTCATGCACAGAGCATACGTTAAGCATAAACACAAAAGGAATCGTAAGAATCTAGCATGCCTATTTAACCATATCGATCCGGCTCAAGAAAATATCCTCGTACAAATTTTCATCTCGTCCATGGTGAATTACAGCTTGCATAAATGCATCTTTTCCTTAGGGGGAACGAAATGATTTTTCTTAGTGATTGAGATGGATCGCTGCTTTTCTTACAAAAGTTGAGGTTTACAAGGAATGAATAGGAATTAAGAACAAGCACAAAAAAGAAGCGCCAGCCGTGCAAAACTTTTTGTTCTTTTTTCCCATTTATTCCTTCTCTTTCATGGTGGGAACAAAATGTGTGAATCACTGCTTTTCCTCTAGTATAATTTATACGTTTGTAGGACTTGCATTTTTGGCTTTTGTAAGGGGCAATCACATGGCCTTGTAGACTATTGTATGGATCATTCTTGCCACGATCTTGGACTAAAGTTGAGCATGTTGGAAAAGGTGGTTGGATAGGGAGCAACAATGTCTCAAAACAAAAAAAAGTGCTTGAAGAGTATTATCTTTCCTTTTCTTTTTTTTTTTCATAAATTCCGACTTGAGAAACAAGCGTTCTCTTTTGGTATAACAAGCCCCATCAAACAGGAGAATATTATGTTGTGAGAACAAGAAAAATCAAGGATTTTCGCTCTCAGCTTACATGGCTGTGAATATGAGGCGAGGGACATTTTTTGGTGCCACCAAAATGTCCTCGTCACTTTCTCCTAATATAGTGCAACGTTGTTATAAACTACTATTTGTCACTAATTTTCACTATATGTAACGAGTCTATTACGTACAATAATGTTTGTGAATCTATATTTAGAAACTATCTTTTAGCAAGCAAGTGCTAGTGATAGGTTAGAAAACGTGTTTCCATTATCAATACGAACCACAGAAATTAAAACAAACTCAACACGTGATTCCATCATCAAGAACTGATAGTGTTTTAATTGAATAGTCGTTCTTGTAAGAAGCTTATTCCCGGCATTGATTAGATCTGAGGTTGAAAACCCTAATAGCACACAAATTTTTCGTACGTATGATAAAAGGTGGTCCATTATATTTTTAAGATTCGGATAAGCTATATGGTATGCAGATGAATTGGGGGTCCAAAAACCAAATATTTGTCATGAAAAATGCAGCGATGGCCTTTGTCGGCTCCCCGCCGGTCAGAGGACCATTGTTCACGAGGGGGAAGGAGTGACAGTTCCTGATTGGGAAGAGACCATGATGCTCACCAAAGTGAAATTGTAGGTCACTAAGCCATGCAACCAACGCAAAAAACTTTTCAATGGTTGCGATAAAATAGAGCCAAGAATCAAAAAGGGGATCAGACTTTTCAATTTGCTGCTTGTTTACGATTATACATTGCCCATTCACCTTTTTGTAGGCAGACAGAAATTCCACACTTATGATAAGTTTTGCTTGCTACTCATCTAGCTAGGATAGATATTCAAGCACAGGGTTTTTTGTCCCTTTTTTTTTTAAGCACAGGGTTACTACTATTATTACTCTCACATTTCATTGTCTTGGAGTTCTTTGATGGATTGGGACATTTAAAACTTAAGTAGAAAACCTATTATTTTGGAAGAGAACGATAGAAACGCTGCAAAAACTTTTATTTCAGTTTGATCGAGGATCTTCAGTTCAGTTTGACCTGTATCATCGATCTTCAGAAGGGTGTATTACCCCTTTTAGAATGTTAATCAAAATACGCTGGACTTGAACGTATAACTACTCATTTTGTGTACTTCTATTCATATGTTCCGGTTCTTTGTGCAGCCAAAGAAAAAAGAATGTTGGAGTACGGATATTATGCAAGCTACTAAATTCAAACATTTTCATCCAAATTTCACAACTTATACAAATTTCAATACTAATGATACAAGTCATCCATGCATCAAAAGCGCAAGTTTTGGGTACATCAATGTAGAGTGTAATCTCCTCCTATGCATTTGCGTTAGCAAAGCTCATGTACTACATAATGTTACTTTACTAGCTTGTTGGTGAGCCCAAAGACAAATAAGTATCAATACATTCTTCTTTTAGGGTTTATATATATCGCTAACTAATGATGTAATGGCTTCTGTAGAATCATGACACAATAGTTTTATCTATTCAAAATGATCGAGAACAATCATCTGATTTATCTATATATTAGATCTCGTCGTAGTTTCATTACTTGAAAAAAATTTTAGTTTAGTTGTCTGTGGTATAATATAGATAAAGAATCAATGATGGATATATATGTTTTTCCTCAAGACGGTCGATACTCCGGCCATGCTAATCCTCCCGGGATACTCTGGCAAATCTCGTGGCCTTCTTAATTTTAGAGGACATATTTATTTTACTTAATCATTAGGGTCGATTCAGTTGTTAGAAGAGAATTATTAGAGTCTTCTCTCAGTTGAGCGTTAAAAGGTTGGGAGGGTTTTTTCTTTACTTAAAGTAAGTTGATAATTGGTGTTGGATGATTTTCCAGAAGAAAAAGAATAGAAAATGAAGAGAAGACCTGAAAAGTCAATGGAGTTAGGCAACAGGTCTGCAGGCCACAAAATCCGGTCATCTTTTGATGCTAAAGTCATTACCGTCTCTCAATCAGAAACGCCGGGAATCTCTTCTCATTTGGTCCTACAAGCCACAAAGTTCTTGAATTTTCAGCACTCCGAGCACAGCTCTACTAAACTCTAGGCATTGTAGCCATCCATGCTCCACCGATGTTATCCACTTCTTGATATACTTTATATACGTAATTATATATATATATATATATATAATTAATCTTTTGTACACAAACAGTATGCATATAATCACCATTAAATGTATGATAATTAATCTAAATTATGTGATAATGTATACGTTGTTAATGCATATAATTAAGATTAACTCATTATTATACTTCGATAGCATTTTATCTGAGTTATTTCACTACCGGCTATGCAATTGGAAAACATAGCCCTAGCTTTCTGGATCTGTTGAGTTGTTTCATGATTGTTTGTTAATTAGCAAATTGTACAGATCGATCGACAAGAAGTGTACGGGGGTAGTGAAGTTTAATCGATCAGTGGGTTCATTAGCACAAATTAGATTATTAATTAAGCAACTACTAATAGAGAGCTTCACAAATCATTCATAGAGTACTGCAGGTGCAGGGTCCATTCAAACTTTTTGGGTCTCTCAACGTCGGCATCCAATCATCTTTGGACAATGGCTTTGATACGAATATGAGCAGTTGTGACCCGTAATGCACCACTATGGTATCAACTCAGTTGATGCGATGCAATGCATTAGTCATTTTCTGTTAGCCCTTTTCTAGAAAAAGTGTTGCTATTATAGTTTCCAAAATTTCTCTCCAAATCAAGATTCCCAGGCAAGGTGTGGGGTTTAAGGAATTGGACAGAGGGAAATGGATTCTTCTCAATCCAATATCTTCTTCCACCCCCTAACAATCAAAAACAAGGTTCAGCTTGTTCCAAACACCTTGACAACCAATGTTTCCTTATACTTGCCTTCACAGGGACCACTCCCAAATTTGAGCCAGAAAAACTTTGACTGGTCTCTAAACCCTCCCAGCACTGATGCCCACGCAACGATTCAGAAGTGGATTAACATATTCCAATTGATGGGTGAATGATTTCTTTACATTAAGGATCGCAGGTTCACGGCACATCATCTCTATTTGTGTTTGAAATCTCTCTTTTGCACAAGTGGAACAAAATCCAAATTCTATCGTAAAAAGGAAAAAAAGTATATTTTTCACTGTTAGTTTAGAAGATATTAAATCAATTACTTAAATAAATTAAGTGTAAAAAGAACGTTAAAAAAAATTCCCATGAGGATTCATATTTAAGACAATGAGGTGTAACCCTTTAAGTTTTTTTTTTAAAGAAACGATAACAGTTGTATAACCTATTCTATTCTAAACTAGAGGGGAGAGGGAGACTAAAGAAGCTTGTATTTGGGACTAATAGATATACAGATTTTACTGGACCAAAAGAATGCATTGACACCACCCTTGGATTGTTTTCAGTGCAGATGAAATTTGAACCTCTACCTACAGCTTAAGTCCTCCTTGATGCCCACTAAACCAAGCTCTTAAATTGATGTGCAACCCTTTTAAGTGCATGTGTCATAATTCGATTGGACTCCTTGAAACACAATTATAATTATAGGATGCAATTTTGATGAGATAAATTCATTATGATATACGATTTTCAAACGTATCAAAATTTGTCGTACTGTTATGTTAGCTTCTATATTTGTTGTATAGGTATTTAGACTGCATCATACAATTGAAAAAACCCTGATCCGTTAAAATCGTTCTCTTAAGCGCTGCAGGATGCGCTAGCTAGTGCTCGTATCGGTACAGTACCAAGTCTTGGGCCACCCCTATATAAACCCCACTTGGGCGTTCCCTTGATCAAGTTCAGGTTCAAGCTTGAAATCCCACTGCTTTCAATTAAGTCCTTTTTCTGAGATACTTTTCTCCGCACATACGCACAAAGCAACTAGTACAAAAGATGTCAGGTGTGTGGGTTTTCAGGAATGGTGTCCTTCGACTTGTCGAGAACCCTGGTGACTCTCGTAAGGCGTTAGTCCACGTCCCAAGCAATGAAGTCATCACATCCTATGCTGTCCTCGAAAGAAAGCTATCAGCCTTAGGTTGGGAGAGGTACCATGATGATCCTGAACTCCTTCAGTTCCATAAAAGATCCACGATTCACCTCATCTCCCTTCCCAAAGACTTCAGCAAGTTCAAGTCCATGCACATGTATGATATTGTCGTCAAGAATCGCAACGAATTCGAAGTTAGAGATATGTGATTTTTAGTCTTTAAGTTATTAGTCACTTGAGTCTATCTATATTCACTTGGTTTTGGGTGTGGTAATCTTAGTTTGCTTTCGTTTTCTCTTGGGTGTGGTAATCTTTAGTTCCTCCACAGTACCTCCAACTGGACATGTTCCATTAACTGAGGATGCTAATGTAGGATAGAGGTGTTGTTTCTATTTGTGTTCATGTTCTTGTAAAGTTACTCCACATGTGTGGTAGTAATGATTCTGTAATATGAGTTGAGAATATTGCTGTACTTCAATCGAGTTTTTCCTTAGTATGGCAATGTGCAGTAAGGTGGTTGATCAACTAATTAACTACATTATCTTCTTGATCATACATAAAGCACGATAATTCACCTGCACATAACTTTACTCGATACACTTACAAAACGACTTTCGCCATATTCCATATTGGCACTAATACACTACCTGCACTTAACTTTGTGTAAACATTGAGCGGACGAATTGCAATTTTTCTGGATGGGATGACTGAGACGTAAAGCAAGGTCTTGGAAATTATCTTGCAAATTCAATAGGTACTTAGTTACCACGCAATTTCGTCTAATCATTTCGCTTATTACTTGCAATCTGTTTGAAGAGCGGAATTATAGATGACAGGGAACCGAGGCACGGGCGAAAGCTAGGACTTGGCTATTTGAGGAGCCGATGGCCGAGAGTTACAGTTGTTCAATCAGGAGGTGGAAAATGGCATTAAATCTTTGAAAGTTCCATATGTCTGCCATTTCCCACATTCAAGAAATGGAATTGATGTGGTTCAGAATGATGCGCATGCACATGCTTATTAATCACACGGACTTGGGGTTTCCAAAATAAGTGCGATCTCAACTATTCAGAGATCGAACTTCCTCGTCGCGACTGTAGTCATGACCTACACACTACAATGTAACATAAAAACAAGAAATTAAGCCAATTTAAACATGTCAAAGTCTAATCATTGAACAGAATAACACAAATAAAATTAAAGCACTAGCTAAAATAACTCCATGATTAGAGTGGAAATGACTCGTAAACGGGAACTTTCTGCATGAAACAGTGTTTTGCTATGTATAGTAACAACATGAGAATCTAGTTGTCTTTGGTCCGGGGGATTGAGGGAACTAGCTAGAGATGACTTGAGAGATGGATGCAAAACGACCATCAATTTTAATGCACCAAAATGGAAACTTTTGGCTGAGCTAGGAATATGACAAGTTTCCATTTTGAGTACTATCGGCGTCCCTACTCCAAGAACGGTTCCGAATTCTATTGGGCGCTAGTCTATCACATCTGTCCCACATACCCTTAAGGTGTGTGGGTAAAAAGGATTGCGTATTTTTTTTTTTCTTCGGGGGTTGTGTGGAGGGGGTAGGGTTGTACGGTTTTAGGTTTACATTGGAAACCGCATGTTTTTACGGGAGGGACTGAGGCAAAGAAGTTGATCAGAGTCCCAGCAAACTGTAGAGACCGAATTTCCAAGGCACGGACATGTCTGCACATGAATACGGCGACAAGTTTCAATTATATGATACCAGCAAGCGGAGCTGGCAATTTTTCTGCTACCTGATATCATGGTAAGATAAGTACAACTATATAATCTATATATATATATCATTTACCTTCAACGTCCATGTAAAACCAATCTTTACTCTTTATCTGTAAATTTTTTTCCCCCTTTAAACTGGAAAAAGTTTGTTAGAAGAGCTAGTTAGATTAAGTGGAGATTTATTGAAAAAGACATTAATCAGCTAATTAGAACTTAGACAGATTTCTTCAGTATCCCCGAAAGGAGCAAATGGTCATATGATCATGGAGATAATCTGTCTTTCTTATTTAATGTCATGACTCATATGAATGCTAAAACTAAAGAAACGGATAGGCTTTCTTTGTGTCCTGTAATAGGATTAGTTATGTAGCTATATACTTTTTATTTGTTTTCGTGAGGATGGTCCAAAACTTTATTTTTAAGTTCAATGGATCGTATTAATATCTCCTGTCATAATGATCAGAAAAATTAATACTTAAACACTTTGTTCTCACCGCTTTCCTCATTTTTAAAGAAAAAACAGTCTAGTGCTTTAGGATAGCCAATGCTTACTTTGACAGCACATAGCTGCTGATAAACCAATGAAAGCTAAGTAATATGTGGTGAAACTCTACCAAAAAGCCAAATGCTTTCAGATTTCATAGATTGTAGTATCATTTAGCAGTTTCCGCAAAAGGAGATGAGGGTCCGAAATAACAAGAGGAGTTGCCCATCTCCTATAGGAATAATTTCAACAAGAAGTATGGAAGGAGCAGCCATACTGGAAGAATCCAAGCAACATGTGCTTCAAAAGTTATAGGAGATCATAATCTGGAGGTCCCTAGCTATCTGCTCCGATCAAACAATGGAACTGATAAAATGCATTCATACTAAGCCAATTTGACTTGTATTGGAGGGAGTAGATAAGAGGCTTATCACCACGTGTCTAATGCTAGCAAAAAGAAAAGATGAGTACTGCTCCTATGAGATCAAGAAAGTGTTGGAAGATCTTTCCTATTCTTGTCAGCCTTAAAGGCTACAATCCCATTCCTCATTTGAATGGGCTACTATGACATGCTCTTCTCCTTTCCCTATCTCTCTCAGACTCCTTACGTAGCTATCTTTTGGGCATAAAGATGACTTGAACTCATGCAATGCTGAAATGGTGGGATCGAGCAGAGCAAGAAGCTTTTTTATTCCCATGCACCCTATCCACAAAGAATGGGGCATGAGAGATCTTCATTTGTCTTTAATGAGTTTGATTATGACAGCCAAGTTTTGTCATTTAAGGCCATGCATAGGTCAGTCATTGCGTTGCGTGAATGTTTTCTCATCCACATTTAATGTCAAGAATAATCTTCATTACACATACAGCACCATTTCTACATTATCCGATTTTCATTTATAGTGCACCATCATCATTAAGAGGATAATTATTGTTAATTTCTGTCTCATGTTTTTGCAAGAGTGGTTCGCAGTTGCGTATAAGCTCTAATAGACAAATCTTAGAACATTTTAAAATCAAATCCGCGTCTTTTAAGTTCAAAGAAGAACATAAACTTGCTCAATAATTTCAGAGACTTTCAGCGTCTTTTAAGTCCCATTGCAAGTTTAAACTTGTGTAGTTTGACATTTGAAGGCCGAGTGTCTGTTGGAAATTTTTTGTTTAATCAATGAATTACCAACATCTAGCCTAAAAAGTCTTCTGAGAACTAACTATTGACTCATCTTCCACCATGCATGAATTGAATATTGAAGTTAGCCACCATTTTGCAGTCGAAGGCTGCTAGCTCCATGTTTTGTTCACGGTGACAAAAACAGGGTATGAGCCTTTTCTAACCTAAAATTGACAAAAGTGTCACATGTGCAGCACACTATCTTTTCAATTTTAACTAACTAATTTATCAATAAAAAACAAACATTTCCCTAAGAAGAGCTAACTAATTTATCAACTTCATGCCTGTTTTTCAATTTCCTCTCAAATTTTATCTAGTTTCTGCTCTTTCAAAGGCTAATTCTATCAAATATCCATCTTGAGATCGATAAGTTACTACTATAAAGGCATACAAAGAAAGCGTACTTGAGATGACACATATGAAAAAAGACAAATATTTATTCATTTCGAGTCATGTGTAGTTGAATCATATATAATCACCATTAGTTTTAAAAGCAAAATTGGTTAAAGTCACTAAAAGATATTCTTAATTTACAGTGTTATGACTATATATTGAAGTGAACTTTCCAAGATACTTCAGTAATCAAGCGATGGAACCCTTAATCCATGTGATATCACCACCATAATACTATCAAGTTAGCGTAGCGTATCATGCCATCCAGCAACCTCTATATAAACCCCGCTAACCTCTTTCTTGAGTTCATATCCAAGCTAGCCACCTCTTTCTTGAGCATTTACGCATAACTCTCCCGAACAACATATATCTACTTTAAAAATGTCGGGGGTGTGGGTTTTCAGCAACGGTGTTGTCCGTCTGGTGGAGAATCCTGGTGAGTATCAAGGTTCTAGTTCTCGTCGCAAAGTGCTCGTCCATCTGGCAAGTAATGAAGTCATAACATCGTATTCTGTCCTCGAGAGCAAGCTGCTATCTCTGGGATGGGAGAGATACTATGATGATCCTGACCTCCTTCAGTTCCATAAGAGATCAACCATTGACCTCATCTCTCTTCCCAAGGACTTTAGAAAGTTCAAGTCCATGCATATGTATGATATTGTCGTCAAGAATCGTGATGAGTTTGAAGTTAGGGACATGCAATAAGGCGGTAATCACTAGGTTGAAGTTGAACTTTAGCCTTTAGGTCCACGTCATGTCCCTTGATTGCTTCTGTCTGATTTTTTTTTATTTTTTTTTTGCAAAATTGTGGTTTTTTTTTGTGTGTTTGCAGTCACTTGGCTTTAGGTTGCTTTTAACCAGTCATGAGTCTATGTATCATACTAGTGTGTGCTGGGAAGTTGCCACTGTATGAGCTTGGTGCTAGCACATTAATGCTTATGTAATGCGTACAAGGTTGTTTGCCATTGATGTTCCTGTACATCATGTAATATAATGATTCTGCTATTTCATTAGTATCAAGAATTGGCTTCTCGTGCGTTTGAATTACTCTATCTCTCACAATTTTAGTGAACATTTCCAATTCAATTTGTTCTATCTTACTTTTACTCTATATGAAAAACCAACTAAATTGCTTCAGGTGAGTTGGCTACGAGTAATGCATGACTAACTACATCTCTAGAGTTTAAATTCCAGTAGGCAGCAGAGGTATGAGAGGAGTCGCTCCTTTTCTTAACGCTTTGTAACTTGAAGGAATAGCAGCATTAAGGCATTCCTCCTCTTTTGATGATTAGGCAAGTACGTAATGCATTGTTAGAGGAAAGTGTAACGAATTATTACGAGTGTAAAAGTATATATATTTTGGAGTACTTCTCAACGCGTTTTGGTTACATTCAACTTCCACACCATTAAAACATCATTAGTTCTTCCTCGCTGTGCATGATAATCACATCTCCATCCTTTCTCCTGTAATTACCAAACAATGCGTTTAAAAACTTTTAGTCAGAAAATAAAAAAAAACAAAAGAATTTGTTGTCATTTCCCAAGTTTTTCCCATTGGCATTGCAGAAACAGCTAGCATCCCTTGTAATTTCTACATTTCCATGCTGCGAAAAGATGTACTCCATCCGCTATCTGCTGCGTCCTGTTGGCTTGCAATGGCCGTTTTCTTTTCTTCTTCTTCTTCTTTTTTTTTTTGAATTTTCTTTGAGCAAGAATATCCACTTTTAGAGACATTTGTAATCCTCTCCTAAAAGACGCTTTCGGTTAAATCAGCCCAAAGAAATAGTAGTATTATAATGGAAGAATCGTACCGCCAGTGCTGGTGATTTTGAAGTATGTACGTAGAAGCAAGTGCACAAGATGATAGAACTCTGGAATTCGGTGCATGGACCTCAAATATATGTTTTGATAAGGCCAAAGCCAAGAATACAACTGTATATATTATGGTATCCCCAAAGTGAAGAGAATTTATTTGGTTCCCTGTGTCCCATGCAGCAGATTCCTTCCTCTTTTTTTTCACACACTAGAGGGTGAATTGATGCTGTTCTTTAAGTGAAGCCCAGCTGCCCTTCCAGCGCCCACCATAATTTCTTGTGATTAGGGGCGTCATTCTTTACGCAAGTGTCGGCCCCTAGGTAGAAAAAGGTGTTTCACAAGTTCGATGAGTTTGGCAAACCACGACTTCTGCTGCCTCTAACCCATTAATTAACTCATCGCTTTGGGACCATCCCTCCCAGCAAGCTGCTCGTGCAATAATCAATTCAACCTAGTACGTGAAAGCCAATTTGTCAGGAGGTAATTAGTCTTAAAAGTATTTGGATTTCTTGATTTGAAATTTTCTTTTGCTCTAAACTATCCAAGGAAGAAGCCAAGTTGTGGTAGTTTTCTTTCGTCCTTAATTTCTTTCTTTCTTTCTTTCTTTTTCGATCAATACCTAAATTCAACGATCTGCAGTGCTCCTACTCTTATTCTAACTTATCTAAAAAAAGGTTCAACTCAGCCAGCCAAGGGTGCTAGAAGGGGTGGTTTCCATATCTAAACCCAAGAAATTACACTTAGGCCTATAACTTCATATATACTTCACCTGTTGGTCAGTGCTAGTAGTCAAGTCCTTATTATGCAATAAAAATTGAGCTTCCAAAGCTCGTAGTCAAGTCCTTATTATGCAATAAAAATTGAGCTTCCAAATTGTTTCTAAATCAAGACATAGTAGCTAGGTAACACAAAGAGATCAGACTCTTAGTCCCGTTTAAGCTAGATTGGCGATTTTGGACGTCAATTTGATCAAATGCTTATTTTATGTTTGTAATCAGTTTTTAGAAGCAAAGTTAATATTACCAATTCATGGTCTGGCTAGCATGTTCAAAAAAGGTGCTCTTCTCTCATGCACGCTTTTCTTTTGTATTTGTCCCAAATTATAAGATTATTTACCTTTTAAAACGGAAAAATACAGGTTTTCGTCCCCAAACTTTGGACACAAAACACATTTCGTCCCTCATCTTTCGGGCATGACACATCTGATGTCTGAATTAAGAATTTTAGACCAAATGTCATTCACAAACGGCAATTTATCCACCATTTAACGAAACCGGTCACATGAGATTCACGTACCGTTAAGTGAAAGTTTCTGTCCGAAAGAACCCAGGTGGAAAAAGACGTTGTCTCCACTTTCCCTTTTCCTTTCCAAATCTGAACTCTCTCTCTCTACAAGCTCGCTTATATTTGTGTAAAACCATTTTCCCCTTTCCTTTGCCTTTCAATTTTTACACTTTCAAAAGCGTATTCCAAAAAATTATTGAAGATCGAAGAAGAAGAAGCTGACCTGCTGGCATCCACTAAGTAACAAAGCGGAAAAATATGTCGGTGCGAAAGAAGGAGTTGAACGATTGTGCCTCACCAAATTATGGTAAGTTGTCCAAGGTTTAATAATTTGTTGATTAAAGTATTAATAATGAAAATGTTGACCTTTTAGTGGCAAGCTATGTAGATGTGGTCCTTCACATGCGTGTTTGTGATATATTATTATTGTTTTTTTTAGCTGAAAATACTAGCAGCAGCTTGTCACATAACCTTTTAAGCAATCTTGGTAGGAAAAGTTGAGCTCATATTCATATCACATCAGCTTTACATAAAAGGGCTATATGGTTGGTATAAAACATTATTCTTAACGAAATGGAATTATCCTGTTTACCCATGAACATGTTCTACACCAGTACTCGAGGAGCATTTCATTGAAGAAAGAAGACGGTCGAAAGTAAAAACAAATCTCATGGATCCAGTGTTTATTCCAAATGAAGTGATACTCGAGTACGGTTATCCTTTGCCCAGTAGCTACATAGTTGGTTCATTGTGATATATTATTGTTAATGCTAGGTCCAGCTACAAAGTTTGAACTTTTTTTTTTAATATGATACATAGGGTCCTTGATGTCTATTTTACAGGTGTAAATCTTATTAATGTTTAGTCGACATTGTTTGAAAAGATTAATTTTTGTAATGGTTAGAACATATGTGTTTGAATTATAAATCTATGGTCCCCAAATTATTGCACTTTGCCGTCCTCAAATTATTGTTAAGCTTATAATAATAAGTTTATCCAATATTGTTAAAATATAAAAATAATGGTTTGGTTGCTTATTCAGTATTTGATATATTCTTTTTGTTTAACTATCAGAAAAAAGTAGCTCACTGATTACACTAAAATGTCACTGTGGAGGGTTGATATTTTACACTCCCCAACCGCATTATAAGGTGGAGATGTATGTGTCCTTGATTATGTTGAGAGTATAGGCTTGAATATTTTTGAAATGGATAGATTAACTGAGGATGTTGGTGTGTTTGGTCACAAAGTGTACTATGGTTGGGAGAATAATAGCTTTAAAAGGATAGACAATAGTAGAGAATTGCATGAATATATTCTAAGGACTGCTGGTTCAATTAGGGAAGTTATCTTGTACCTTGAAATCTCATTTCATGAAATTTTGGTTCACCAACTTGGCAATGATGCTTATAAGGTTGATAAGAATGAAGAAGGTCTTGCTAGTGGTAAATATAGTAAACATGATCATGAAGAGAGAGGAAAAGATAACAGTGATTCTGATTCAGCCAATGAGTCTTTCTTCTCAGCAGTAGATTTTGATTATAATCAAAGTGAAGAAGATGATGCTGATTTCAAAGATAACATAGATACAAATGCTGAATGGTTTGGTGTCTCACACTATACGGAATTGAAAACTAATTTGGCAAAACAAGGACAGGTTGAAGCTAATTTGATTCAGTCTGAAGATAATGATGTAGCCCCTGTCTCTGAATCAGATTTTGAGAGTTTGCATGGGTCTGATGATGAAAATGGTAGTAATAGGTGTGTTGTGTTCAATCCCAAGGACATGGATAATCCAAAATTGAAATTAAAGATGTTTTTTAGTACCATCAAAGAGTACAAGCTAGCTATTACAAACTACAGTGTAAGACAGGGGAGGCCTTGTAAATTTGTGAAGCAGGATTTGGTTAGATTGAAGGCAAAATGTAAAAGTGAAGGCTGCAATTAGCATATTTATGCTAGAAATTTTGGTGGAGAAGGAAGTGTGCAAATTAGGACATTTGAGGACATTCACAAATGTGACTTTACATATCAAAATTTACTTGTAAATTCTGGTTGGGTTGGTAGAAAGTATTGTGAGGAGTTTAGATCCAATCCTAAGGTAAATGTGAAGCATTTTAGAAAAACAGCGATGAAGGAAAACAAATGCTCCTTCACAAAAAAAACAAACATATAGGACTAGAAAAAAGGTTTTGGACATTATTCATGGTAGTTAAAGTGACCAATATAGCAAGTTAGGAGCTTACATGCATGAAATTCAGAAATATAATCCTGGTAGTTCTATCATATTAAATACTGTAGATGGCATTTCAAAAGGGCAACAAAGATTCCAAAGACTTTACATGTGTTTTCATGGAGTGAAACAAGGATTTTTGGTTGGGTGTAGGACTTTGATTGGGGTAGATGGTACATTTTTGAAAGGAATAGCAGGGGGTATTCTATTGATTGCTATTGGATTAGATGGTAATAATGGCATTTTTCCTATTGCATATGCTGTAGTTGAGGGTGAAAACAAGGAATCCTGGACATGGTTCTTTAAGTTACTCAAAGAAGATTTGAAAATTGAAAGAGATTATAAATGGACAATCATGAGTGACAAGCAAAAGGGACTAGTTCAGGCCTGTATTCATGTTTTTCCAAATACAGCTCATAAGTTTTGTGTAAAGTACTTACACAGCAACTTTTTTACTGTTGGGTTCAAAGGGGAAGCTCTAAGGAGAGCATTGTGGGCTGCTGCAAAGGCAACTACACCAGCAGAATTTGTTAGGAAAATGGAAGAAATGGCAGTAATTGACTTGGATGCTGCCAAGTGATTTGATGATAAACCACTATCTCAATGGAGTA